AACATCTATTATTCTAGTTATTCAATTTAAATTTAACAAATATAGATAAACCAATTGAGGTAACAACTAGAACAATTCAGTAAGTCGGCTTCAAGCAGTAAGCTCGATAGACCGGTCTCAAGGAATTAGCTTAGGACTAGTTGATCATGGAATAAAAAGTTCATGTGCTCGGACATACAGAATAGTGTTAGAAATTAAAGGCTTGTTTGGAAACACTTATTGAAAAGTCCATTTCGAGATGGACTTTTTGAAAAGTGACTTTTCAAAAAGTGCTTAGTATAAACTTCTTGAAAATGGACTTTATGTGGGAGTTAATTTTGGAAAAGTCTATTTTGTTATTTAAACCTAACATCTTTTTATATAGGAAATGAACTTTTATAGTTAAAAGTCCATTACAAAGGTGCTCCCGAACATACACTAAATCAGTCGTACAAAACTCGGTTTGACACAATTTTTGATTGTTTTTATTTATGACTGAATATTCCATTCGAATTGAATTAAATTATGTTGAAAAATTATACGCTCTTAGTAGATACTCGTGGTATATATATTTTCTCAAAACTGATTTTTACAGAGTGAGAATTAACTAATTAAAAATAATCATTAATGAGCACATAAAACAATAGTTGTAAGATTTGAAAAGTCAAGAATCTTATAAAAGGGTCTCAGCCTCTCAGGTATGAAAGAGTTGTTTTCTTCTTCTCTCTGAATACTCATATAATTATCACCTTTCATATTTCGAAAATTGAATTGAGCGTTGGAGGTTTATTTTCGGAAACATACGCGCGTGTTGTAGGTCTATGAAGGTCATTTCAAGGAAGGAAACTCTTTCAAAGTAATCCAGTTGCCGGTTCAAGGACAAATTACCTATAGCCCGTCGGTAAGCCAACATGACAAAGTAGATTAACTTCGGGAAATATATGGCCATGAGGCCGCTTGAGTGACATCTGTCAAATCTTTGTATATTGGTAATTTTTTTTTGGTACAGGGATCTTCCGATTTCCGAATCCATTTAAATGATGACTAAAAACAAAAAAATAAATATTATAATAAGTCTTGTCCTAATCTATGGGCAGTAGCCAATAGAATTCCAACAGGGTGTCAATAGCATTTTTTGTGCCTTATTTTATGCAATTGTTACTTGTTTTCGTAGATTTATTAATCTTTGTAATTTTTTGTCACATATTATTATCATGTCATAATAAAAATCTAAATTTGTAATTTCGTGTAAATAGATATACCTTGTTATATCTCTTTTTACATTTTTTATCTCCCATTTTATATTAAAATATATTTTTCTTGTACTCATTTTCTTTTTATGTCCGGCTCTGATACCATTTTATATTATCGTTTTAGGTGGTCCTATTTTATGTAATTTCTTAGATTTTTGTTTATGTCTTTTTATATCACAATCTAACTGTTTTAGTTTTTGTTCATCTTTTTCTATATATTTATATTGAATTGTTTTTTCTATTAAATAATCTATCTCTTTGATTTCTTTTCTGAAAAGTTCAGCTAGTTCAAGATTTATATCTTTCCTTTCTATTTTATATTTTATTATTTAAGTTTATTACTAATGAGCTTAATTCATTTACCTGTTTATTTAATTTTTCTATTTCTTTATCCCCTTTATATAAACTATTGCTACTATGAGGTTCTTCAATTTCTTGAATTTTTAATAAATTATTTTCAATCATTTTTCCTAAATTTGTAGGATTACTAAATGATCGCCTACTATGTTCTCTTAAAAATTCTTTTTGAATTCTATCATTTTTAATGATAGTACTAGTTTCATTGAATAATTTTTCTGTATATATTCTTTCTTGGTTTTGATAATTCATACTTAAACTACTATTACTTAATGCATAAGCTATTCTATAACAAACAACCATAGGTATATCTCCTGATTCCATTAATGTTTTTTCTTGAAAATTACATATTATTCCTATACAATTATTAATTTTCTTGGTTGATAATGGTATAGGAAATTGTAATGATATATTAAATTTAATTACTCCATATCCTAAATCTCCTTCTATTTCTCCTAACCTTCTTGATTCTTTATGCATAATTCTATTATCTTCAACTCTTATATTTACAGGTGTTTTTATTCCTTCTCTAAATGTTGATCGTAATACTATTTGTACCGTGTTTATATGTATATAACTTATCTTTTTCCTATCTCCTTCTTTTATTTTTTCTAATCTTCTTTCTATTTGATTTATTTCAACTAAGGGTGCTTGAAAATTATAATTTGCTTGTTCTATTCTAATCGGTTGTTCTCCATTCATTATTCCGTAATGTATTATGTTTTTTCTATTTAATTTTTCTAGTATACCATTATTTATTCCTTCTTTCTTTTCCAGGTCTAAATTTCCTTTATTTTTTACTTTTGTTACTACTTTCTTGTCTAATAATATGTCTGATAGATAAATTCTTTGTTCTTCTATATTTTCTATAACATGATATTCGTTTTCCATTTTTTTTTTATCTTTAATTATCTTATGTTTAGAATTCTTAGCCTTATTTGAACACTTAAAATGGATGCTTGATATTCGGCTTTCTTTATTAACTCTTTAATCCTGATAATTGAATAGGTGATATCATCACATATTTGGAAATAAACTTCATCTTCTACTGAACGTTCTTTATGTATATAAACTTTAACTAGGTTGAATAACATTTGTTCATTTTGTTTTAACATTTTTGTTAATAAAACAATTTGTTCTATTAATGATCTTAGGCAATTTATATCTTTATATATTTCTTTATATGACATATTCCAAAAATCATTTATGCAGTATTAAGGAATTAATAACAATTTTTAACAAGATATATATAAAAACACTTGATTAAGAGGGTTACCTGATTCCGCCTGCTCTCAACACAATTCTGGACTTAATGGCCTTGACGCCTAACAGCTTTGGCCTTTTCTCAGAACTTTCAGTGCTCCAGAGAGACTATCGCTTAATTAATTAACACCTTCAATCTCTCTTCTTATATTTTCTTAAATATTTAGGAATTCATTATATATGAAAGCATAAAATCTTGTGAAAGGAAGAGTAATATATGAAAGGATTTTATTTCAAATTGCTGTGTCCTCAAATGAAGTTTGAGGCCCTTATTTATAGGCGAGAGATACAACTCTGCCTCTTTACATATAGCTTCACATGGCAGACATATTACATCAAAGAGCTGTATGTCTTTAGAAAAGATAAAGTAACGGTGGGTGGTGACTCACCATCCCATTACATTATTGCTCCTATTATTACAAACGGACAAATTACAAAAGAGGTGGGAACCTCCACTATCTGCTCTTCTTTTTCTTCATTATTTGCCTTCTGATGTAAGTGCTTACATCATTCCTGGATGGGTTCAAACTCTCCTTGTGATTCTGGGTTGCATAATTCACAAATGTGATCTTCTGTGAATTCCTTCTGTAGCCTGATGCAGATTTCCTTCTTGATTGTTTCTGGAATATCAAATTGTATTTTTATTAGTGTATCCAGATATTTGTTGAGTAGCTTGATGTCTATCTCTGCTGGATCTCGTGCTTGCATACTCCAAATGATAATGGACTTTGCTGCATAATTAATTCGTCCCTTGATCTTAATGCCTTTGTTTAGTATTATAACATAATTATTAAGGAACTGAATTAATTCGTCTTCATGTTGTGCTTGTCCGATGTCTGGATAATTTCCATTGCTTATTCCAATTTGACAAAATTGGATTGCTGGTTGTATTACTTCTTGTGACTTCTCCCCCTCCCCAAAAATTGGTGTGGTGGCGAATATCTTTATGAATCCTTCTTTTTTCCCGAGTACGTGCTTACCGTATTGGGAAATTGCCTTCTTGATGTTGATCGGGAAGTATTGGAACATATGTGCATCTCTGAAATAAATACAACTCAGTAACCCTGATTGGAACATCATGTATACTTTCATTGGATCTGCCTCTGGTAGAGCGATTGCTTTTGGTCCGAGATATGAACCATCAACTGGATAAATGCTTGTCTGCTTATCTTCATCTGTGTAATTAACCACAAACTTAAATTCATGGTCAAAAATGTTTTTTGTGAGCTTGGTCATCTCTTCTTTTTGTTGTTTAGACTGTATGCTTCCAATCGTGAGTGGTCTGCGGCTTGGAATCTTGCCTAATATAGGCATTTGCTTCTGTGCTGGTATAGCTGGTGATTGAGCTTTTCCTGCATAGCTTGCCTTGAACTGAGCTAGCGCTTCTTTTGCTTCAAACAAACTAGAAAATTTTTTATGTATGACAGGTTGTCCTGTTATAAACATAGCTGCTTGACTCCATTGGGAAAATATCCCTTGATTAGGACCTGTAAATATTACATAATGGGTTTTTGTTCTTTCTTCCTCATCAAAATGAGGTTTTTCTTTTTCTTCCGATGTTTCAGCCTTTTCATTTTTCTTTTCTTCTTTGCCTTTTTCTTCAAACAGTATGGCTTTTATTTGGCTGATTTCTTTTTCTTTTTTCTTTATCTGCTCAGAGAGCTCTTCTACCTCCTTTTCCAACATTCTTAGACTATCTTCTAAGACTGGTTTGAGTGCTTCCATTCCCGTGTTAATGTATCTGCTAAGTAATTTTCTTTTCCTGAAATATATACAGATATATAATCAAACTGTTGTGCTTTTAAACTCCATCTTAAAAGTCTGCCTTTGTTATAAGATTCTTTCATTCTATATTTTGAAAATCTTTTGTATATAGACTATCTGTTTGAAAAATGAATTTGACTGGTTGTAAATCAAGTTTAAATTTTTCCAAAGCATTTATAAAAGCCAGTGTTTCTTTTTCATGTGTTGTATAGTTGCGTTCTGCTTGCTTAAACGTTCCTGATACCCATTTGGATAACAGTAATTGCTTGATATTGGTTTTATCCAATACTAATTGCATAGAATCATTAGATTTACTATTTTCATTCAAACTATCTTTCGTTATCCTTCGTATAAAGGATTTAACTTCAGATGGTTTGTTGTTCATGATAAACTTATTAAACTCTTCATATGCATCTGGAATTGCTTGAAGGACTGCTCCCCAAGTATCCTGACTTGCATCAGTGTTTAAAATTAGTAAATCACTAGGCTTTGGTAGATAAAGTCGTGGTAAATGAGTACATAGTCTTTTTAAGGACTGTACTGCTCTAGTTGCATCATCTGTCCATTTCCATGGTACTTTTTCTGAAATCATTTTCTGTAATAACTCTCTTTCTTTTGCAAGACTTTTTATGAAACCTTTTTCTCCAATATATGTTAAACATCCAAGAAATTTTTGAATTTGATTTTTGTTTTGAAGCTGATCTGGAAATTGATGTATTTTTTCAAGTAGATGTTTTTGAGGTTCGATATAGCCTCCCTCGACCATTTTCATTCCCAAAAATTCTGTTTCTGTTTTGCAAATTTTTGCTTTTTCTTTACTTAAAATAACTCCTTTATTTCCTAATTGTATTAAAACCTTTGCAAGTTCTTTTAAATGATTTTCTTTTGATCCTTGTGTAAAAACAATTATATCATCTATATAAGCAAGACTTACTGATTCTAATCCCTTTAGATTACTATCCATAAATCGTTGATATATACTGGGTGCTTGTTTAAGTCCAAATGGCATTGCATTGTATTCATAGTGGTTTTGAGGTGGACAACTAAATGCTGTTAAAGGTTTAGTTTCATCATGTAATCTTAACTGCCAATATCCTGATTTAGCATCTAAGGTACTATACCATTTTGCCTTTTTAATTCGACTAAAAATATAATCTTGTCTTGGTAACTTATATGCATCTCCTTTAGTGGCTTTATTTATTTCTTTGTAATTTATAACCATTCTACGTTTTCCTCTTTTTAACTCATTATGATTTTCTACATAGAATGCTGGTGCACTATGTGGACTTGTACTAGGTTGTATAATACCATTTTCTAACATCTTAGTAGTTTCTTCTTGAAATTCCTTAACATCTCTTTCTGTATATGGTATTCTATTTGGCACATTGACTTCTTTGCTTGAATCTATTAATTCAATTTTTACTATCATGCTATTTGTGTTTTTACTTGGATCTAATGGATTTTGACTACATATGTTTTCTAATAACTGATTAGCATGTTCTTCTAATGTTATACTTATTACTTTATAAATTTGAAATGAAACTTTTCTTAATATCTCCCCTCGTATGAAAGAAGATGTGTTATATATTTTTGTAGTAATTATTTTACTAGATTGTGTATCTAGTTGTGGACATCTAAGACTTATACTATTTAGTCTTTGAATAAATGGGCTATATAACTTAAGAAAGTTATTTCCTATTATAAATGGTAAACCTGTATTTTGCTTATAAAGACTTGGTAAAGGAAATCTTTTTTCTTCTATTAACAATACTAAATCTGTTGCTCTATAATCAATACTTATTGTCTTATTATTGGCAATTATGACTATAATTGGTTTGTCTAATTTCTTCCAATATTTACTAGGTAATATAGATTCTTTTGCTAGACATATTGTTGCACCTGTGTCTATATATGCTAATAGAAATTTGTTAAATAATTTAACTTTTATAAATGAACTATTTTTACTCATCTTCTGATTCAGATGATTCCAAATCACTATCTGTTTCTGATTCTAAATCATATATATCGAAGTCTAATAGTTCACCTTCTTCGTATTCTTCTTCTATAGGTTCATAACCTAGAGAAAATATCATTTTTAATTTTCTTTCTTTTTCTGGAATATTTTTAGGACATTCATTTGCATAGTGTCCTATTTCTTGACATTTCTAGCATCTACAATTCTTTTTTCCTTTAGGACAATATTTGGGTTTTCCTAAATATTTTCCTTGTTTTCTGAACTTTCCTTTGTATTTTGGTTTCCATGGTTTTCTAAATGTTTTATATCTTCTTGGCCTATATCGTCTATTAAACTTATTGTATTTATAATATCTTTTCTTTCTATATGGTTCATGACAACCAAATTCTTGTGGTACACTTTCTAATTGTTTACAACATCTTGAATCGACTTTAGTCATTTCATGGTGTTCTATTTTCCTTATACAAAGTTCATCTCTATATTCTTTTGCATATTTTTCTAAAATTCCTAAAGTTTTTTCTTCTCTTGTTTCATTAATCTTCTTCTGAATATATTTATTCATTTCATATTTATGTTTACTTTCAACAATTTCTATTAATCCTGATCGATCCTTAATTTTATAAAAATTTTCTCTTACTTGACAGAAGAAATTTTCGATATAACATATATTACATAACTTCATGT